AGGACTTTCAAAATAAAACTCCCTCTGCTATATGATAAGAAAGATAAGTAAATAATGTCACACTGCAGGCCTGCTTACACACTCCACTCATCCTTCATCATGGTGCAGAAGTTAGTAAGTCGCTGCGTTGATGTCTGACAGGCTTCGATGAGGTTCTTTAAACCTACGTTCAGGTGCAGTGATGTGAAACAGTGCTTGTCCCTGATTTTCCCTTTTTGTATGTTTGTCACATTTAAAAGTTTCACATCATCAAACTAATTAAAAAAATGAGATAAAGAAAGAAGAAAGAGAAGAAGCAAACAACAACTGCCTGGATGGCAGAATTCCAAGATTAAACTAAAGGCTCATCTCAGATGTGCCAAAAACATCTTGATGATCCCAGAGACTTTTGGGAAAAGCTGAGATTGAATTAATGTTGATTTTTCATCCAAATCATCATTAAATTTCAAGATTGAAATCTAAGCGTTAAATAAATCCTGAATAAATGTGTGAAATACTGGTGGAACCTGACAGTTGTTCTGTTGTAACCGACGATCTATTTATAACTGTAGTTATGGCACATGTATTTATGTTTTGGCCAAGTATTAAACATGTATGATGCAACATTATTTTGTAATTTTACACACATTTGTGTTTAATGTATATGTAACGACTTTATTGTTACTTGCCGCACTTTTTTGCAAAGTAACCTTGGTTCCTACCTCGTGTTTATGGAGGGAGTGTTTATGGTGTGACGACCCCTGTGCCATGTGCATTGAGGAGTCAACAAAGTAAAAGCTGAGTGCACACTGTCCTGTCATGTTGGTGTTTATTATGGAAAAGCATTTTTAAGATAAACTGTAGTCTGAAGTACAGCCACAGCCAAAAGAAACCAGGTAAGACCACCACAACCAGAAACCAAGGTTACATACTTATAGTTGACCATGTTTCAACCACTTATAGTTGAAACATCAAACATGTTCAAAAGTCATGGATTTATAGCTGACCATGAAATGAAACCCATCATCAGTTGGACTGTTCTATAACAGCCCTCTGAAAGTGGTTCATCCCATCTGTCCACCACTGAAAATACTGGGAACGTCTATTAGGCAATTAGGTTGACCCAGAAATTCAACTATAAAGCCATTTATTTAAATTTGGGAAATTAGGATTTATTTTTGAGTGGAGAAAATGAGAAAACCACTGCTCAGCAAAAACAACACAAAGGCTCATCTCACATGTGCCAAAAACATCTGGATGATCCTCCTCAGAAACTCTTCTGTGGATTGAAGAGACAAAAGCTGAACTTTATGGAAGGTTTGAGTCCTGTTACATCAGACATCAGACTAACAGGATTTCATAAAAAAAACCACCTCACAGCAGCAGTAAGACGTGGTGTGATGGTCTGGGCTGCTCCACTGCTTCAGGATGAATTCTGCTCTCAGAAATCCTGAAGGAGGATGTCCAAACATCAGTTTATGTCCTCAAGAGCACTGAGGTTACGCAGAGAGACCAGCAAGTCCAACTCTGAATGGCTCAACCAAAATGAAGGTTTTGGAGTGTCTGAGTCAAAGTCTAAATCAGATTGAATCAGGTCAAGTTTATTTGGGATGAACTTGAAAAACCTCTAATGTGGCTGAATTCAAACAATTCTGCAAAATAAACACGACCAAAAACTCTTCCACAGTGATGTGAAAGACTCGTTTCCAGTTCCTGCATGTCTTCATTTGTGGAAATGTCATGGAGCTACATGTTA